ATATAGATATAGATATAGATATAGATATAGATATAGATATAGATATATATTGTGTCTGGTCAGCTAGAGAACACAGCCAGATTTAAAGCACCTAGTATCACTTGGGTTACCAAGAATGCTTTCGTTACCAAGCTCGATGTTTAAAACAACTTTAATTAATAGATTAGGAATTTCAATTGATAAGTAAGACTGGATGGATAACACAAGCACAGAAGTGGCAAGTCCAGGGGGAATATGCAAGGATATGCTGGAGATTAAGAACATTGCAACAAAAGCAAAGAATGCCTGTTGTGGGAGATCAGCAGAATGGACACACATAGCTGAGTAGGAACCACTGAGTTTGAGGAAATCTCAATAAAAACATCAAAAGCAAGAGAAAAAGCATTGAAAAAACCCTAACTTTGGGACAACTACAGAGGCATGACATGCACATAATGGGAATATCAGAGGAAGAAGGAATGGGGGGTTGGGAACCAAAATCTATTCCAAGCAATAATGACTGAAAATTTCCTTATATTCAGGTTAAACAACAAATTATCAACACAAAAAGCTTGAAGAGCCCATTAGGCAACACAAATATACCTTAAAACTATCAAAATACATTATAGAAAAATTAACAAATAAGAGGAAAATAAGATTATATAAAATTGCAGGAAAAGCATGTGGCATCTACAGAGAAGCAAGGGCCAGGACAATATCCAGCATCTTTTAAAAGCCATGCAGGCAGTTACGCCTCTCTAGAAACAGTGTCACATCCACAGCCACAGGTGTGTCTCCTAGGTGATTCTGAATCTAGTCAAGTTGACAATGAAGACTGACTAACACAACTATTAATTCAGTCATCTCAATAATCACCTTAAATGACAATGAAAACACATTGTAAGAGTGGATAAAAAGAATAGATCATGTATACACAGGTTGTCTATAAGAAACTAGTTTTAAATATTCATTTAGTTTGTGTATAAAAAAATAAATTTAAAAAAAAAAGGCCACATGAAGCTCATAAAGAAGAAAGACCAAGTGGGGGTGATTCAGTTCTTCTTAGAAGGAGCAACAAAATACTCAAGGGAGCAAATATGGAGACAAAGTGAGGGACAGAAACTGAAGGAGGGGCCGTCTCAAGACCACTCCACCTGAGTATCTATCCCATGTGCAATCACCAAAGGTAGATGCTGATGTGGAAGTCAGGAAGTGCATGCTGATAAGAGCCTGATATGGATGTCTCCTCAGAGGTCTTCAAGAGTCTGACATATTCAGAGGCAGATGCTCACAACTAGCCATTGAACTGATAATGGGGTTCCCAATGGAGGAGTTAGAGTGAAGGTCATTGGAGCTGAAAGGGTTTGTGGCCCCATGAGGAGAGCAACAATACCAACCAACCACAGCTCCCAGGGTCTAAACCACCAGCCTGGGAACACTTAGGGAGGGATCCAGGGCTTCAGCTGAATACGTAAGAGTGGAGGGCCCTGCTCGGCATAGGTGGAAGAAGAGAACCTTGACCTCATGAAGGCCGGACGCCCCAGGGGATGGGAATTTCGAGGGTGGGGAGGTGGGAATGGGGGGGTAGATAGAGGTTACATCCTCAGAGAAGAAGGAGGAGGGGTGAGGGGATAGGGGGTTCCTGGGTGGGTGGGGGATGGGGTAAGGGGACAACATATGAAATGTAAATAAAACATCCAATTAAAAAAAAATAGTTTGTGTATATGTGCACTTTTCTGTGTCTCTGTATGTATATGCACGTTAGCATACACATGTGTGTGCATGGGTGCCCATAAAGAATGATGCAGGTTTCTCTAGGGTAGAGATGGAGTTATAGGCAGTTGTGGGTCACCCAATGTGGGTGCTGGGAACTCAATATGGGTCCTCTGGAAGAACAGAGAGTGTTCTTCAGCCGCAGAAAACCATTCTACATACCTGTAAATTAAAAGCAAGTGGCAGCGAGCAGATCACAATGCAGTGGCCACTGTACTAGTTTGAGTATCTTTAATCTGAAAGTCCAACATCTGAAAATGTTCCAAACTCAGAAACTTTTTGAGAGCTGCCACGACACACAAGAGTTTCCAACTTCAGATTTTTGGATTCAAAGAGAAAATCTCCAGTTACACTTGAAGACTCTAGCATGCCTCTCTCCAAGATGGATTAGTCAAAAGCAGGAACCTCACTGAATTACAGTAGGACATAACTGATCTAAGACATCTGCTTTTAAAATATTGACCATCACCTTGAGATTAACAAAAAAGCAATAAAAAATACTAGAAAGTAGAGAATGGGAACAGGCAAGTTGCTTTCCTGCTGATGTGAATGATACAGAAAGTGAGAGTCCTTGAACTTTTATTTTGACCACTGGAGTGAGAGAACACAGTACACAAGGGAGATTTTAGAAACTGCTTCAGTTTCTAAATTAGCCACAATGTTTTTTTTTTTAAGATTTATTTGTTTATTTTATTTACGAATACACTGTAGCTGTCTTCAGACACACCAGAAGAGGGCATCAGATCTCATTACAGATGGTTGTGAGCCACCATGTGGTTGCTGGGATTTGAACTCAGGACCTCTAGAAGAGCAGTCAGTGCTCTTAACCACTGAGCCATCTCTCCAGCCCCGCCACAATGTTTTAAATTAAGTATCAACAGGTTCACACAATCATTTGCTTACCTTCTTCTCTCAACAACTATATTTTGAGTTCTATTTTGCACAGATCTTTTTTTCTGTATTTAATCATCAAGTACCTTTGCCATTTCTTCCAAAATTTTCTCAGCCCACACTTTAAAACACCGAAGACTTAATTAGATGATGAGGTTTGAGGGTGGGTGGAGCATTGTGGTCAGGCTGTATTGGGTCACACTGTATCACGCAGATCCCACCAGTCAGCAGATCCAGGAACGAGGAGCCAAAGGTTTTGTGCATCAAGCTTTATTTTGCATATTTCATTGTTAATGATGTAGAGTAATGATAGTTTCATGATGCCTGTCACATGGAACCTAATATAAATGAGTTGTTCTGAGCACAGTTTCAACCTCAATTTTTCAGTTTTGAGTATTTACGACTTGGCCCTTAGAATTACCCTTCCCCTACACTGCTACAACATTTTGGGCATGCTGCCACCAGGGGGTGTTCTAGTGCTGCCAGCCATTGCTGATGAAGAAAACAATGCTAACATGAACCCAAGATAAAGGCTTGTAGTCTTCTCTTTAAATAAATTCAAAATGA